TAGCAGCTTGGCTTTCTGGTGTGTCAGCCACACCTCTCAGTTTCATATCATCAGTGAACTTGCTGAGGGTGCACTCTATCCCCTCATCCAGGTCATTGATGAAGCTACTGAACAAAACTGCCACACCTCTCAGTTTCATATCATCAGTGAACTTGCTGAGGGTGCACTCTATCCCCTCATCCAGGTCATTGATGAAGATACTGAACAAAACTGGACCCAGCACTGATCCCTGGGGAACATCACTGGCCACAGGCCTCCAGCTTGATTCTGTGCCGCTGATCACAACCCTCTGAACTCTATTGCTGAGCCAGTGTGCAATCCACCTCACGGTCCAATCATCTATCTGACATTTCTTGAGTTTACCTATGAGGACGTTATGGGGGACAGTATTGAAAGCCTTACTGAAGTTGAGGTATATGACATCCACGGCTCTCCCTCCATCCACCCATTTGGTCACGCCTTTGTAGAAGGATATCAGATTGGTCAGGCAAGATTTCCCCTTCGTAAATCCATGCTGGCTACTCCTGATCGACTTCTTTTCTTCTAGTTGGTTAGAGATGGCCTTCAGAATGAGCCACTCCACTATCTTCCCAGGGATGGAAGTTGCCTGAAGTTGCCAGGGTTCTCCTTCTTGCTTTTCTTGAAGACTGGAGTGACACTGGCTTTTTTTCCACTCCTCAGGCACCTCTCCCGTTTCCCATGATCTTTCAAAGATGATGGAGAACATCTCAGCCACAACATCAGCCAACTCTCTAAGCACACGTGGATGTGTGAGCCCTGTAGAGGCCCATGGATTTGTGTGTTTTCAGTTTTTGTAACAGTTGTGTAACCAAATCCTCACTGACCAGTGGTGAGTCATCCTCACTCCAGTTTTGCTCCCTTACTTCCAGTGACTGGAATTCCTGGGGGCTGGCCTTAGGAGTAAAGACTGAGGCAAAGAAGACATTCAGTAATTCTGCCGTCTCTGCATCCTCTGTTATGGTATCTCCCACCTCATTTAGCAACGGACCTTGTATTTTCCCTACTCTTCCTTTTCTCATTGATGTATTTGAATAAATTTTTCTTGTTTTGTTTCACTTCCCTAGCCAGACTAAATTCCAAGAGGCCTACTTCTGTTAATAGATCTGCTCTGTCTGAATTATATTCACTAGTGTCATTGGAAAGCATTAGCTTGATTTTATTGCACTATTTTAATCGCATAATACAGTGTCATTAAAAACATGATAAGGATTTGAATGCTACACTTCACATAGAAGATGTAGATGTATGTTATGCTAAAAGTGTTGCATTACTTGGTTACTGTGTTGACAGTTGATAAGTTGCTTTTTCAGAGGGAAATAATTTTTAAGGTTATCATCAAAACAAGTTAACTTTTGACATTGTAAACTAAAGTTTGAAAAATCTTCAAGATGCATTAAGCGAAACATGAAATAAACTGATGTGATCAATAGTGGATTTTGTGGTCTGTAGAGCAACCCTGATTTTTGTGCATCAGGGTTTTAAAATACAGCAGAGATTTGTCTGGGTAAAGGTATCTTTTGTAAAAAGGTTATCCTGTTTTGCTGTAGTTTATGTATAGTATTGGGGTTATACAATTATAAATAGAGGAATTTTATTAGGCTGGTCAGTAGTTTATCTGATCATTTTAATTTGTAATGCCTTCTGTGCACTTTTCTTGCTGTCTTTACAAAGTCAAAAGAAACACCCCTTTTGTCATCTTGTTTGAAACTGTTGATAGCATACCTTGAATGAAACCCAATAGCTCCTCTTCCACAAAAAAAATAAAGGGAAGTTAGTAGTTTCAGATGAGAAAAAGCCAGCCTGTGTGATTTTCAGAACATACAATACCTGTGGTGAATAGTGAGGTGTGCCTAGGGAAGTGTCAGCAGCTTCTTTAGTAGTCAGATTTTAACTTTCAGAATTACAACCAGAAAAGAAAAAGTCATTCTAAATGCTATACGTGATAGTACTTGAGTCAATACTTGTGTAGGTAGCTTTGTCATTTTTGTTGCTCAGCTTTCCATGCTTAAAGCAGAGTGAAAAGTCATTTTGATTTTCTTCAGACGTATGTGAGCAGTGATAATGTTACAAGATTCAGATAAAGTTAATTTTGGAGTCTGCATGATTCCTGAGCACAGCCAATGGCTGTTTATAAGAAGTAAAAATTGAGAGGCTAGAGTAACAGATTGAGGCCAAACTTGGAAACTAGGAATTTTGCAGAATAGATGTGGGACACTTAGACTTGCTTTGTCCTGTGAGACAGGAGTTGCATAAGAAAAAAGTCATTGCAATGTGGAGTTTATGATTTGGGAGAAGGGATCAAAGTGGCATAATTTGTCTTTTTTTCCTTTTTTTTTGGTAGAGAGGAGCATGAAAAAGGGAGAGATTTCAGTATTTTTTTTTTGTCCACAGAGGGCCAAACCCAAAGAGTGTGTTAGCACCTAACACAAGGATTTTATATTCTTGCAACTGAAATTGCAGTCCAAAATATCCTGCTCAGTAATCATCTGACTTGGAAAATACTCCTTCGCTTCTTTTCACCTGTGAAAACTCAGGGTATTTCTGTCTTTCAAGTTGCCTAAGTTCTGTGTAGCACACAATAGATCAGAACTGCCTTGGCACGACTAAATAGGTTTCTGCATGCTGCCCAGCCTGATTTGGAATCCAGAAACTATGCAGAGAGGAGTCAAGTTGCAGTAGTGGTACTCTAAACAAACCCTGGGCTCACTGAAATCATTCAGTTGGTTTATTCTTAATGCAGTGGTCAAAGCAGACTAAAAGTACAGTAGCTACTATGTGACATCTACTTGACTATTTGCAGTTTACCAGGAGGTCAGACAGTTCCGTTCCTAGTGAATTCGTACCTCAGTTGACCAGCTGATTGAAGCAGCCAGTAGACAGAATTGCATTCCCTGTTTACGTTCTCATTCAAATCCTGTGAGTCAAGCACCTCTTGCTTTTTGGGTGCCAGGGTTCAGAGATTAAGCAGAGCCCTGAGGTTAGAGCTGCCTTTTGGGCCACCTCGATGTCCCATCCTCCTAAGCCTGCAGGTGTTCTGATGCTCTCCGAGGTTCTAATCTTTCTGTCACAGTGTGGAGGGAGACCAACCCTCTCGCTGGATGCGACTAGCGACTGTGGGGATTAAGTACGTCGTGAGATCTTATCTTTTATATGCTCCTAATGTGTTTTTTTTTTGCTTTGTACCAAGCCCAAGGCAGACCTGTGGTTAAAGGTGTCAGTATTGCTCGTTTTGCAGTTGCTGAAGGCTGAGTTTAAGGTTATGATGTGAATGAGCAGTGCCTAGCAATGAGCACGGGGACTGCATGGCCCTGTTTTAGCTAATACATATACTTTAGGCTACTCATCTGATAGTTTCCAAGCTCTTTGAGGAGCTAATTTTGGGGGTGGAAAAATTTATATTTTCAGGACCAGAAAGCAAGAGACTAAAACTGAAGACCATTTGTTCTCTGAAATATCCTGTTCTTCCACAGAGAGTTCCCATAAGAAGAAGGAAAGAAAAGGCTAATGAGGAGGTTAAGAATGCTAGGAGATACACTGGCTCCTCCTTTTTGTCTTCAGAATCTCTGTCTGTAGAGGAAGAGGAATTATCAGATTCTGGTTATAAAAAAACCCAGACATAGGCCAAAGAGTGGCTGTATTCCCAGTGGAATGCTTTGATACTATGCTCAAAAGAAGTCTCTGCTTTAAAAATAGAATGGGAGCAAGAGGAGGTTGAACTTTTTCCCATCAGAAGGCAATTGTCTGCAAGCAACAAGAAGGAAAAACAGGCTTTTTATACACAACAGCTATTGAACTGATGAAATCCAGTTGGAAAAAAAGCTTTCCAAAGAGGATCTGTGACTGACTCATGCAAGATCAGCTTGTCATTGCCTTCAGAAACAAAGGACGCTTTCCAAGCAGGTGCTCTTCCTGTGATCCGGATAGACAATAAGAAAAGTTTAAGGTAGTAAGTGTTGGCTTTTCTCTTTGTCAATGCTCACTGCCTGTTTATTGAGCAGAACTAAAAGCACAGCTCCAGATTGCACACTGTTAGGACAGAATCAACAAAAAAACAGCAGTGGAAAAAATGAACTCAGTGGAATCTGAATTTCTGTGAACTGCATGTTTAAACTCTGGAAATAACTCTGATGAGTTTTCAGCTTCAACTTTACTCCCAAGCTTTCGTTATCAGACTAAAATAAATAACAGTGCATGTGTAGTGCTATTGAATATTGGTACAATCCTTTCACTGTTTTTAATTTCTGTATTTGCTCATTTTATTAACTTCCATTTTGTAATACAGACAGTTAAACTAATTAAAAAGACAGCTCTATCTCCCTTCTAATCTACTACACTGTTCTTTTGGAAGCACTACCTGTGTGTAGCCAATTGGATCTCTCCAGCAGGAAAGCTTTTCAGTTATTAAATATAAAATTTTCCTTTGCAAATTATATCCAGAAACACGGTTATTTGCAGAGATAAGACTTTCAGTTCTTTTCCTAATCTCAACTCCAGACCTACCTGTGGAGTGGAGTCCCTTTGATCTTTCCCCTTAGGCATCCTGTAGCCATCTTTCACAGGTGTGGCTTTCATGTGAAGTGGACTAGTTTACTCCTTACTAGTTTTTTCCTCTTTGCTCAGCATTCTCTAATTAGCTGATATTTTTAAATACTGACGAAATGATTAGACTAAGCAATAAAAAGGAAGAAGTGTTATGTTTTTTGCTTTCTTGTCATGATGTCCTTTGCGTATGCAGTGCCAAACTGTACTGTATGTTTTTGTTGCCATTTTATATGCTAAATTCATATCTGTTTCGCAGTGCAGGTCCTGTTCCTGTTCCCAAGTTTCTCCCTGGTTTTTTTTTTAAACTAGAAAAACTTTTTTAAATTATTTTTTTCCACCAACATGTATGTGCTTCTAAACCAGAGATTTTTTCATTAGTATGCAATTCTTTCTTTTTAAATAATTTTATGAGGTATTAAGGCTAATTTTGATATTAGGTGCAATTGGACTTCCCCGTTGGTGGATCTAAAGCACTTTATCCTCCAGGTGTTCTGGCGGCACATGTGATGGCAGAGCAAAGCCAGCATCCAGTCAACTCGGTATCTAGCAATCAGTGCTGCGTTTACTGAGTCAATTATAATACTTTTTTGTTGTCATGAAGTTACTCTCAGTCTGGAGCATGGGGTTAACTGATGTTTGAGCTACCAAAATGTAAGAATGTGTTGTGATTCATAGACTGCTTTTACTTTTCTTTCTTTTGCTGCCTTGTAGAGGTGTATGGGGAAAAATGATAGGTGTGATCTCACCCGTTGGCTGTTAAATTCGTGCTTCCTTGTGTAAGTTCATAGTGCTGATTGTGTTTTCTACATACTTTTCTGCTATTTCTGCCCAGGTTCATGAAAAAGCTTACAGAATATTCTGCAAGTTCTAGTATGATGAAGTAATAGGATACTGATGTCAGAAATGTTACATATTGTGACTTTCCTCTTTTGAAGTAAGGATTTGTTGCTGCAAATGGCAGGATGAAAGTTAGAAAATTTAATTCTATCAAAGTAAATCTTGTTAATAAAGCAAGACCTGTACAATGATGTGGTTTCTTTGTATATTTTGATCCCCAGTCAATCAGATGAGCTGTATAAAACCTACAAAACAGTAAAATAAACATCAAATATTCCATTTAAAATCAACAATCAAGTTGTTAGTGTTGTTTATTTCCTCTGAAAACTGCTTAAATAGTTTAATCTAGCAGTAATGAAAACAGATGTGCATGTTGTGCTCCTTACTTGATGTAGCATCTACACCTATATTGTCAACAGAAACAAACTACACCTTTTATTTTTCTAAACCATACTTCAGAAAATATTACTTTACTCTGCAGTGCCAAGATAGTAACTCCCACAGCCACTCATTCATTTCTGTCCATACACTTCCCCCTCAATTTTTTCAGCACATCTGTCTGTGGGACTGAATGATAGAGCTGGGAAAATGATCAGGAGTCAAAATAACTCAGTACGTTTTATTTTACTTTTTTTCTCCTCCCAGGCCAGTTCTCCAGTGGTATTTTCTAGCCCAACGTGAGGGATGGCATGCAGGGAGGGCAAGGAGGGGAGGATACAGTAGAAGCTTCAAAGTATGATGTCACCTGTATTAAAAATACTTCTCTTTTTCAGGAAAACTTCATGGAAGTAATTAGAAACCAGGAATTTCTATTATTGCCAGCCACTGAAATTGCAAAGCTTTTAGCGAGCGATGACATGAATATTCCTAATGAAGAAACTATACTGAATGCACTACTTACCTGGGTTCGACATGATTTGGAACAGAGAAGGAAAGATCTCAGTAAACTCCTGGCTTACATTAGACTGCCTCTGCTTGCTCCACAAGTAAATTGTTCAATTCCTCTCTAGTTTATACTGTGGTTACAGTGGGCATAATGTCTACAGTGTTGATATATTCATAGTGACAAATCATAAAAGCTTCATGATTCTTAATGATTTGAATGCTTAGAGCTTCGCGTTGTGTAGGTGGGATTACGGCTGTTTGTGAACTGCAGCATATTCAGATCCTAACCTGAGATCAGGCAGGATCCAAGAAGGAGTGCAGCTGCCAGGAAAAAATTGCTGCTGAGAAATTGCTTTTCTGAGAAAAGCTTGTAAAGAATATATTTGTCACTAGAAGGTCTGTCCTTTTTGAATTTCTTCTTTATGGAACTTGCAGTTTATTTGAATCATTGCATTTCCTTTATATGATTATATCTATCCTTGAGATTTAGGAAATACAACTTGAATACATTTTTTTGAGTGATTTTTTTTTTTTCTTCTGTTAACTCTTGATAAACCATCTTTGGGTACTTTTTGTTCTTCCCAATCAATACTTTTTCTCCTTCTTGGACATCCACACACAGTGTTGAGAAAGACTTGAGCTTAGTTTGTTGAAATAGTTGTGAATGACAGTTTTTTTCAAGTCCTGTAGGAATGACGGCTCTTGTTAGTGTCATGTGTAGCACTCTATTCGTTATACAGTAGCATGCATGTAAACTAGGTTTGATTATTTTTATTTTTTTACTTATTTTTTTCTCTCTTTCTTGTGCTAGCCTTCTTTACTGGACCTTCAAGAGTATTATTTAACAGTTGCTATACAATCAAAGGATTTTGCTGTGCAATTTTCAGTTTGTTTAGTGAGAATTATCTCTATTGAATGAAGAAAATGTGATTTTTATGGAACCTGAATAATAAGTATAATTCATTAACACAACAAAAACTGAGGTCGATTCATTCGTAGTGATAAATCACAACACCACATTCTGTATATTACCTCTAATCTGGTATCCTCTTGCTGAGTAGTCTGATTTACTAGCAAGTGTTTTAGTATTAGTATTTCCATATTGGTAATTATATATGCATTGGCAAGATTTTCTTAGTTATGGCCTTGACATTGTAATGCACTTTTTTAGAAACTTAATACAGTGTAAACCAGTTGACCTGGAGGAAGTAATTCTTTCGTTGCACGTTTAATTAATAGATAACTAAGTAACCACAGCTGTATCCTTTTACTTAATTGATTGAAATTGAAACCAGAAAAATATGTAGTGAAATCAAATTGTGTCCACTCAGTAACTGATTAGGAAAATAGCAGAATGAAACACAAAAGCAATATCATATTTCACTTATTCTCATGTATTCTCAAAATATTTACTTATATTTCAAGTCCAGTATTTTTCTGTTGCCTTTTTATTTATTATATTCTTAAACAAATTAAAGTGTTAAAGTTGTGATTTTAATATGGCAACAATTAGTACATTGAGTAAATTGGTTTGAAGTACTTGAAACAGTCTTAAGGTATTCAGAATCATGTTTTGCTTCGTGATCACATGGCATTAGACAATCTGACAGCAAACATAATGAAAAGGTTTCAAATTTTACAGTTGATGGGTTAAAGCTATTTGAAATAAATTAAGTTAGAAAATCGAACAATGCTGAAATCAATAACGTTGCAAGCCAAGCTGCAAAGAATATTAGATTAAAAAAAACACCTTTGGGAACTAACATGAAATTGTAGAACTGGAAGCAAAAAATCATAATTAAGTCAGTTTTATTGGTTGTATTCTTATGCATCTCTTTGTACACAGCTTTCTGTCATCTCTTCAGTTAATGCGATGTCCTAAATATTTGTAATCATACGGAATCACAGAATGTGAGGGGTTAGAAGGGACCTCAAAAGATCATCTAGTCCGACCCCCCTGTCAAAGCAGGATCACCTACAGTAGGTCGTATTCACCTACAGAATCGTATTTTGCGCTTACAAAGGCTGAAGATGAATATTTGTCAGCTTCTTAAGCTGTAAGGTAGCAAGTATTCCATCTCTGATAAATTAATGAAAAAGATGATTAAGCAATTTCTGAATGACAAGATGGTTCAGCTTCCTTTTAGACAAAAATTCTTAGAACTTGAGTATCTGCACTACCTTTCTCTTTGTCAGGTTTCCAATGACTATAATTTCATGCTAACACATCATTTGGAACTGCTCAGTTATAAATGCTTTTAGTACAATGAGCTATGTAAATAATAAAACTTGAACAAAATTGGCCTTCATTTAAGTAAGCCCATTCCAGACTGAGTGAATGAATAATATTCACATAAAATTGTAGTACAGTAGGTTTAGTTTCAAGAGCCTGCAGGTTTTTTAGGTACCAAAACAATCTTAGATTGCATTTCATTTTAAATGAGTTGAAATCACTTTCAGTAGTTAAGAAACTGTGCTATGAGAAGACTTCTTTATAGTTTGAGGTGGATTAGAAACTGAAGAAAATGTAGGTTGCATCTTCCTGTTGTGAAGCTCATATACATGCATGGTGTTGCTTTAAATATTAAATGCTGCTTGTCCAGCAGAGAAACCTATTGGAAGTCTGAATTGGTTATGGTGTGTACAAGGCTTCGTTTTCATCCATGCAACTGTAACTATATACTACTTATGACAGTAGTAGTTAATGGATTTATTTTTTTTTAAACTATGTGCAATTTTGTAGCATTGCATGCTAGCAGGTACAACATGGCTTTCGGTTTACTGTTTTATAATCACAAAGTGTCCCTGTAAAGTGATATATGTGAGAAGTGGTGCTGTGAGTCAAGAGGAGAAACAATGAGCAATACTGAAAGTAAAGAATGACGATTAAGTTTCCCCTGCTAATTTATGTGATAATGTTTTAATTTAATATTTTAAATAGAAACAGAACATGAGCTAATTAGAAGAATACTGCAAAAGTCAGGCTCGGTTTTCTGAAAAGTCACTCGTGAAGGGCCTTGAAGGTGTTTTGTTTTAGCTTTTTATTCTCTGTGTATGTTAATTATATCTTCTGTCAGTTTCTGTTGATTTGCCTGATACAGAGATATTCAGGCTTAGCAGTATGCACTTAACTGTATCTCACCTGGAACCACGGATGTTAGATTTCCCACTTTGCAGTCCTAAGGCAGCTTTAAACCAGGGATATGTGCACCATATGATGCACAACTATTTCATAGTGAGTCCCTTTGGTACTCATGATTACTAATCTCACAGCAGTTTTGTACCTGTTATCGGTAGCTGTTAATACCTCAACAGCGACATCTCATTCTAGTTTGTGGACTTGTATTCCTAATATTCACAGTGTTTGGATTTTGTGATGGCTTTTCAGAGGCATTTGCTTTTTCTCATTGTTCTGACAACTGTCCAAGTCCCAGTGGGGCCCTTCACTTGCTTTTTTGCTCTGTTACTCAGGCCATGTCTTGAAGCTCAGAAAAATGCCGGTTGTCTAGGCTTCTAATAATTACAGTTGGGACGCTCAACCTACTAATTTATTTTTTTTCTGCAGTCTGGCAAACACGGAGTTTAAAAGATTCCAGAATCTTTAAACTTACTCAACCTACTAATATTTTTTTTTTTCTGCAGTCTGGCAAACATGGAGTTTAAAAGATTCCAGAATCTTTAAACTTAATAAATTTTATTTTTAGTCTTGATTTCATTGAATTTTACTTAAGTCAGATTTAAAATTTAACACTTGTCAAATTTTCTTGCATCCTTGATCTTAAAATTTTAAAAAAAGGCTTGTATTAATTGATACCCTGTGATCTGTGTCACTGTCAGAGTGAGGATTAAAATATTCAGCAGGTGCCTGAAGTGGCTTTTACAGACCTCTGGACTGGGAGGATTCAGGAGTAGAAGTGGAACTTCAGACTGACTTACATACCTGGAGCCTGATTCTGTTTTCTTGAACATACCTGTTGTGGCACTGGAACATGAGGAGATTTTGTTTTCTTCCTTTGGACCATCTTAAATCATCTATTTAGATCAGATGGCCTTCCTGTTTCTTTTTGTATTGACAGAGATAGCTTAAAATATGACTGTTTTGTTTATTATAAGTTTATCTTTACCCTAGTGTCTTTTATATGACCATTTTGAAAATTCATAGATTTTAAATCAAGCAGTGGAAGTCTTTGGATAAAACCATGATTATGGAGTAGATCCTCTTGGAAACCATGCTGTGCCACACGGAAAATAAGGAGGTGATGGGTGACAGCCAACATGGCTTCACTAAGGGAAATCATGCTTGAAAAATTTGATGGCCTTCTACAACGGGATTACAGCATTGGTAGATAAGGGAAGAGCAACTGATGTCATCTACCTGCACTTGTGCAAAGCGTTTGACGCTGTTCTGCAAGACATCCTTGTCTCTAAATTGGAGAGACCTGGATTTGACAGATGCGTCACTCAGTGCATAAGGAATTGGCTGTGTGGTCGCACTCACAGAGGTGTGGTCAATGGCTCGATGTCCACGTAGAGACCAGTGACAAGTAGTGTTCCTCGGGGATCAGTACTGGGACAACTGCTGTTTAACATGTTTGTTGGTGACACGGACAGTGGGATCGAGCACACCCTCAGCAAGTTTACCGACGACACCAAGCTGTGTGGTGCAGTCAACATACTGGAGATGTCATCTGGCGGGACCCTGCAAGGGTCATCTGGAGGGACCCTGACAGGCTTGAGAGGTGGGCCCGTGCAAACCTCAAGAAAGTTCAACAAAGGCCAAGTGCAAGGTCCTGCATCAGGGTTGGGGCAATCCCAAGCACAAATACAGACTGGGCCATGAGTGGAATGAGAGCAGGCCTGTGGAGAAGGACTTGGTGGTGTTGGTTGAGAAGAAGCTCAAGATCACCCAGCAACGTGCATTGGCAGCCCACAAAGCCAATTGTGTCCTGGGCTGCATCAAGAGAAGTGCGGCCAGCAGGTCGACAGGGGTGATTCTCCCTCTCTACTCTGTTCTCCTGAGACCCCACCTGCAGAGCTGTGTTCAACACTGGGGCCTCCAACATAAGAATGACATGGGTCTGCTGGAGTGAGTCTGGAGGAGGGCCACAAAAATGATCAGAAGGCTGGAACACCTCTCCTATGAGGACAGGCTGAGAGACCTGGGGTTGTTCAGCCTGGAGAAGAGAAGGCTCCAGGGAGACTTTATAGTGGCCTCCCAGTGCTTATAGGGGGGCTACAGGAAAGAAGGGGAGGGACTTCTTACAAGGGCATGTGGTGGTTGGGCAAGGGGTAATAGTTTTAAACTGAAACAGGGTAGATCTAGATTAGATATAAGGAAGAAATTCTTCACTGTGGGGCTGGTGAGATACTGGAACGTGTTGCCCAGAGAAGGTGTGGTCGGATGCCCCTTCTGTGGAAGTGTTCGAGGCCAGGCTGGATGGGGCTTTGAGCAATCTGGTCTAGTGGAAGGTGTCCCTGCCCATAGCAGGGGGTTGGAATTAGATGATCTTTAAAATCTCTTTCAACCCAAACTGTTCAACGATTCTATGGAAATGTTTTCTTGTAACCTTGTTTTTATTCTTCATGTGGTTTATAGCAATACAGCTTGTTTTTCTTTCCTTTTCACAGTTTCTGGCAGATATGGAAAATAATGCACTCTTTAGGGATGACATCGAATGTCAAAAACTCATTATGGAAGCAATGAAGTACCACTTGTTGCCAGAGAGACGACCTATGTTGCAAAGTCCCCGCACCAAACCTAGAAAATCTACAGTGGGCGTGTTGTTTGCAGTTGGAGGAATGGATGCGACAAAAGGTATTGGCTTATATAATGCTTAGTTGATGAGCTGTCTTGGTTCTTTTTAAAAAAAATGTTTGATAGATGTTTTTACAGAATGTTAATTCTGAAATTCAAAGATTCTGCAGCACAGAATATGGAACATCTTAAATGTACATTGTTTATTAGGTTTAAAAACCCCTGTGTACTCTGATAATACTGTAAACATTCTGGAAACTAGAGTTATGATTGATTGATTTGAAATTTTCAAGGGAATATCTCATTTCTGAGTAGTGAAATGTTGAACTGAGTGAAAACTAATCTTTATTTACTTGAGTGGGAAGTAATTTGGAAAAGGAAGATAATGACAGAAAGGGCACAAAGATGACCTGCACATGCATCATAAAAAGTAATGCTTTTTGACAAATTATTAAATGGTTCTGTCAGAGCTACTTAGGTTTTCTTTTTTGTCGACATGTCCATACCATTTAATGGTAGTTGAAAGGAGTCAGGCAAGTTAGAAAGGTTACAGAACAGAAAGTGTTTTCTTTCATTTAAGTTAGCACTTTTAGTATTTTATGTCACATATCTTCAGATTTATATTTTTTTAAAATTGAACAGTTGATTTCAACAGAGAATTGCATTTCACAAAGGTTGTTTTATATTCCTAATGTATTTCTAAAGGCTTGATTCTGCCAAGCAATTAGAAATCCTGCTTTTTGTCTTGAAAAGCACTAGGAAGGTCCTCATTTATAATGGTCCTAAAGAAGTCAAAAAGGACTATTTGTGTACGTAGAATTAAGAACATGCTGGAGGATGTCATGCTGTCTTGTGGGATCAGCATATTGCTGAAACAAAAACTATCCCTTTTATATATATATATATGTATGTATAGGTATAACTTGTGTATGTTGTCGTTCAGGAGCTACAAGCATTGAAAAGTATGAACTTCGTACCAACATGTGGACTCCTGTTGCAAACATGAATGGACGAAGATTACAGTTTGGAGTTGCAGTCTTGGATGATAAATTGTATGTGGTTGGTGGCAGAGATGGACTGAAAACATTGAATACTGTGGAGTGCTACAACCCTAGAACTAAAACTTGGAGTGTAATGCCACCTATGTCCACTCATCGGCATGGTCTTGGTATGTATGGTTCTGTAAAGGCTGAATGCATATTTTTAAAAGGTTACTTGTTTTAGGAAAAGTCAAAAAAATCAGAAATTAAGTTTAGGTAGGTGGAAACTTTGTTTTAATGCCAACTGCTTATCAAAGATTTTTTTGCCTTCAGATTATATCCAGCATTGTCTACCAAAAGGAAATTTCTTTTTATTAGTTTTTAAATATTTTGTGGTACACACTGGACTGTCACTAGGAAAATGTGATCTTTTTTTCCCTCATCAAGAAGCAATTGTTTTTCAATTGTTTTTTTTAGGAGTAGCTGTATTGGAAGGTCCCATGTACGCTGTAGGAGGACATGATGGCTGGAGCTACCTGAATACAGTAGAAAGATGGGATCCACAGGCTCGTCAGTGGAACTTTGTAGCTAGTATGTCAACTCCAAGGAGCACTGTTGGTGTAGCAATATTAAATGGAAAGTATGTGAAGGCAACCTCTGTCTTCTATCTCATTATTTTAATGTAATTACCTGACGATCCTAAATGACTGTTAATAATTTCTCTGGATAGATACCTGTTGATAGCATTAAGAACCAAGTTTCTTCGTTCACAATAAAGATACTGTATTGGGTCAAGTCAGCTTCCCCACAGCATCACAGTGCCCCTCAGAATTGCTTATGAGACACCATCTCTGTGGGCTAATAAGTAGTTACCATCTCCTTAATAGAGAAAGAAGCAAATGTATGTTCTCTTTCACTGAGACTCCAGTGATTTCCTCTTACTGTGATAGTGTGAACAGTCAGCTTCCAAAACAACTGTAAAGTCATAGAATCATAGAATCACAGAATGGCATAAGCTGGAAGGGACCTCAGAGATCATCTAGTCCAACCTCCCTGTTTTGGGTCATGGAGAAGTATCATTTTACTGTTCTGAGTTAATGCAATCGACGCTCTGGCAGAATTAATCTCATCTGGAGTGGTATCTGAAATTTCTACAGCTGTTTTTTAGTGAAAATATGCCTAATTCCTAATACAAAACATACTCAGACAACTGAAGCATTTTATGCTGCACTTACAGGAAATGGCTGGAAGTGAACTCAAGGAGTTCCCTAATCCATTCTGCTACCCTAAAACTGAATCATTTATATCTAGAACACTGAGGAGTTGCTTCCTTTGTAGCATGGCTTCTGAGCTCCTGTCTTTCCAAAGAATAGTGCTGGGCATTTCTGATTCTAAGCATAAATTACCTGTAAACTCTGGGCATAAATTCTTTATCAAGTTTAATTATTTGATTAGTTCTAAGATTCTTCATTGATGGAGTACTTGGAAAACCAATCTTTTCCTTCTAGCCCTTCCAAAACGTTGAAATCCTTTGTGAATACCAAATGCTGGAAACATTTTTGTTAACACTGAGCAAGCTAGGCCACCTAGTGGGTATAGGGTGCTGTCATTCATACGGTAAAGCCCAGGCACAGAAAAATACTTGAATGCCTAGGACGAGACAGGAGAGTTGATGCATGCACAGATCCATTATTGAATTTGTCCCTCTGACCCTGCTAGAAATGGTTGAAACATAAATGCTGTGTTATAGATAGCAATTTCCGTAAATTATTGTTATTATGCATTCATCATGACAATAGAAAAGACTGGAGCAAATTCTAAGTTTTCATAACAATGTTTTGTTGGAAGTTGAGGTTCTCATTCTAAACTTTCCTTTTTAACAAACTTAAAAGTCTTTAATGCATCACTAGAAGTTTTGTCTTGTTCAGACAATGTTTATTTACTTTTCCTTTTTTTTTGTACCTTTTAGGCTTTATGCAGTTGGTGGTCGAGATGGAAGTTCTTGTCTTAAGTCAGTAGAATGTTTTGATCCTCATACTAACAAATGGACCCTCTGTGCTCAGATGTCAAAAAGAAGAGGTGGTGTTGGTGTGACCACCTGGAATGGGTTCTTGTATGCAATAGGTGGTCATGATGCCCCAGCATCAAACTTAACATCCAGGCTGTCAGACTGCGTGGAAAGGTAATAGGCTAATAAAGGCATATCCTGCTAGTAAGTCTAACGGTGCTAGTCTGAGAGTGATTTAGGGAAAGCGCTCTAAGTAGAAACCAAATAAAATAGCCCTGTTATTTTTATCCTGAACAGAGGAAACTTATGTATAAAAATATACTGTGTAGTTGTAATATGATTCAAAATGTTGCCAGGACAGATTATTTAAAGCAAATTCTCCGTCAAGCACTTCATCTAGAATTTTTTTTTCTAACGGTCTCATTGATTGATTGCTAAGAACAACTTGGAATTTAATGCTTTTAAAAGTGGAGCAGAACTTCTTTCACACAAGAAGTCTATATCAGATCGTATTATAACTTCTGAAGGAGTTAACAGTCAAAGTTTGTGGATCATTAGTTATCTATTTCTTCTTGTATCCACTGATGACACTGGGGAAACTGGTGTGTAATTCATCTAAAGTTGGTATGTCTTTACATAAAGTTACTATTGAATGACTGTATAACAAGTTGCAAAAGCACGTGCAATCCCTAAAATAATTTAAAAAGTAAATACTTTACAATGCACTGCAGTAAGTCTTCATTAGCATTTCAGTATTTCTGAAATGTGCTGAAATTCTGGTTTGGTGGGGATTTTCCCCTAAATTGCAAAACTTCTTTCCTGTTATCTCCCAACACTTACAGTGATTCTTCATCACCCATCTTTTCCTTTAAATATCTTTATGCTGGGAGATGTGATTCACCCTCTACTAAATAAAAAAATTAAAAAACATAACCCTCTAGTCCCCCTCTCCAACCTCCCCCCCCCAAAATGCAACAAAACTGAGCTGTAGTTTTCCAATTCACCCTCTACTAAATAAAAAAATAAAAAAACATAACCCTCTAGTCCCCCCCTCCAACCTCCCCTCCCACAAAATGCAACAAAACTGAGCTGTAGTTTTCCAAGTTTCAGTGTCCTAACAGACCCCAAAATAATTTGGCCTGTGCCAGTTAAGATATTGGAAGTTGCACTTTAAAGGGCTTCAGAAGGATTTGCAGATAGGAAGGTACATCTTAGCAAATACCAGTTTTTTAGAGAAATGCAGATAATTAGAAGCCCAAGACAAAGTAGTAGATCCATGTATTCTCTGAAACAAAATTACAGGACACATGGCTTTAATAAATAGGAATAATTTTTCAATGCATTTTGTGCTCGCTCTTTAAGTGGGATGAAATTGAGGACCGTGAACTAAATAAACATTTTTAAAGAGAGTATTTGGGGAAAAAAAAAGTCCTTTGAAATTAACACCCAAATCTGTGCTGTCCTAATACTACCTGTTTTCCACTGCCTCAAGAAGGTAAATTCCAGTGTGCTTTTCCTGTTGAGTTTTGGCAACAATTCTAGAGCATAGCACAAATTATCTTTTAGGTATGATCCGAAGACAGATACGTGGACTGCTGTGGCCTCTATGAGCATTAGCAGGGATGCAGTGGGAGTATGTCTTCTTGGTGACAAGTTGTATGCTGTTGGAGGGTATGACGGCCAAACATACCTTAATACAGTGGAATCTTACGATCCTCAGACGAATGAATGGACACAGGTATAGTTTCTGATCAGACCATATGCTACTATTTGTTATTTCAAGTGTGCCTCTTTTTGCAAGGAGAATTCAAGTACTCTAAGAAGCGCTTCTGTTGTCTTTTTTTTCTTTTTTCTTTTCTTTGTCTACAATCTCAAAATAATTTATCTTGAGCAGGTGGTTGTTAACTTATAATAAACTGCCCTTCTTTCTTTGGCAACCGTATAGCTATTTTCTATGACAATTTATCCTACTGTTAATAAAAGGTATTGACATGTTCTCCAAACTATCATAAAAGATTCTGTTTATATGACTTCCTGTTCTGAAGATAAAGGATGAATGTAGATTAGTTTTAGCTCAAACGTGTCTCTCAGGAAGTTTATCAGTTTCTTCAAGGTTTTGGTCGTATTTTCATAAATAATCCTTTCCTGGTGTGCGTGCTATATATACAATGTGTGCAACTTGGAGGAATCCTTTTCCCATTTCTCACCACACAGCTCAAAAAAATAAATAAATCTTCAACTCATGACCAGAAACCATTGCTGTGAATTCAAAGCTTGGTTAGTTTTACTTTTTTATAGCTCCAGGAATGTGCCCTTCTGGGAAGCGCACCCACATGGACATCCTAGGTCGGCTGTCCTTTGCTATCTACTGCCATTTGAGATACCCTAAAGCATCTGCATCCACAGAAGTGGGGCAAATATAGCACAGAATCTATGGGAGACCAAGGCCCTCCTGGAATCCGTTTGCAGGCCAGGATGAATATCCAGGGTCACCAGGAATAGCATTAGACAATGGTATTTAGGCAGCTGAATTCTGGCCTCCTCAATGTACTATGCTAGTAATAGCCCCAAATTGCTGATTCAGAAAGAGAACTGAACTGCTCTCTGTCAAAGTCTTTGTACCACAGAAAACTGAGCTGTCTGTTTTCCCACATTTCATGCTGCTGCAAAATCTTAAAATGTAAGTCATCTAGGAGGCTCCTCAGAACTCAGGGCCTTCAGTGGCAGTACAGGTAATGATAACCCGTGGCATTATTCGTTCTGCTAAATGAGAAGAAAAAACAAACAAACAAAAGTCTACCAGAGGAGAGAAACAGTGCTTCTCGCCATCGCCTCTAAATGAATCTCACGTAACATCTAGGTGGTGATAATCCGTATGTACCTTTGTATCCTTTTGTATGGATCCTCTGTAACCTTTGGTATGGGTCACTGAATCCCATGATCCCAGTAGACAGGACAATTCTGAACCCTTTGCAGAGGGAAGTCTTTCTTGTCAGCAGTCTGCCACCACTTCGTCCACACGCAACTCAAAAGAGAGTAGTGGAATTTTCTCAGCTGAAGTTTGTGAGAGCAGCAGACAGCTCAGGATAAGTCTGTTGTTCTGGGAAAAAAACCCAAAACAATAGGGATATTGGCATAAACAACCTTTTTTTCCTTCAGGATAATCTCTGTAGCACTAACTGCTGTTCACACACACTCCAATACTATGAAGTTTAAAATGGGAAGCTGAAGTGTTAGAAACTACCTTCTTCTTTTCAAGTCCACTAGAATCTCAGCAGAAAAGGGTCTTGCCAGAAGTAACTTCTGTTTATAAAATTCATAGAGACTGGGAAATTATTTCTCATTTCAAGAGCCATTAGCAGGATTTTATTAAATATTCCAGTAAAAAGGAGAGGTTGCCCCTGTCATGTTGATATTTTCAGTTTGAAAGAAAAATGTGTAGTTTTGTCAACCACTACTCAGTTGTCAGACGGTTCAGCTCAGATGTCCAGTTTGTAACATAACAAAGGGTTTTTCTTCCTATAATACTAAGTGATTGAAATTATCAGTAAGAATTGTTCCATATTTTTGGGGTTTGCTAATGCTTTCAAAGTGCTTCACTCTGTCATACAAAACATCTTCACCTTTTCTGTGGGTTTTTATCCAAGTTTTGAAGCAATTTGCTATTTTTTTTAAGTCATATTAACAGAATGTGCTGCAGCTGCATAACTATTATTACAAGTATTAACTAAACACTGTCCGTTTTGGGGAAAAAATACTTAGAGCTGACTGCATTTATCTCATGGAATTTTATTTTATTTTTTGCTTGCAGGTTGCACCATTATGCTTAGGAAGAGCTGGAGCATGTGTTGTGACTGTAAAACTATAAAGTATTTTCTTTATGAAGGTAACATTATGCTCCATAGACGTGGATGATTTCTTTTTTCCTCGAGCAAACTTACCAGTGCATCGACAAACACAAGGTGCAAGTGTTTGATCTCAATCTAACATCTACAACGGAAGTGTTTGGTCTCAATCTAACATGTACATGTTGTTCTTATGGACCAATATTAAGCACTTTTTAAAAAATCATCTTTGTTACCTATACGTTACAAGAATTCTATTTGTAAGAAAAACAGCTCCAACCAGCCAGTCGCCAGCAGAGGACTTCTGTTTAAGAAGTGAATTCACTGTAATAATCAAATGTTACAGATCCAGGGCCTTGATCCTCCAAATATGCAGAGGAATGATGCTATAAATGGACATGCTCTTCCACTGATATAATTGAGTCTATCTCTGGGTGAAACAAGTTACAGGATTGGACCTCTTATATTTAATTTGCCTATAATAAACACGTTTGGCTATAGGTATCTGAGCTATTATAATGCAGGTTGAGAAACCAATGCAAACCATTGTAAATGGCAGGCATAATGCCTGTCTTGGAAATGAAGTTGTGTATTTGGTGAATCTTTTGCACTTTTATCGTCATTCCTAGTTAGCACACTTTTTATTTAACCAAAGCCTTATTTTGAATATTGTCTTATTATGCTAACAGAAATCTGCTATTTAATAATTTTTGTCGGAGATTTTTAACATCCAGTGTACTTTCTGGATTTTCCAAGTTTTTGCATGAGATGCAGAACATCATACCTTTTTCTCTACTTCAGTTTGTATATTCACTTTGCTATTTTTAAGGAAAAATCAATAAGCATGAACTATTGGAAGAATTCTAAAGTGTGATCAAAAGTTAACGAATTTAATATATTTGCACTTTGGAATTTTTGAAGCATTCCATTACATCTAGACTAATTAATTCCATTTTACATGAGGCTTTGCACTAGTTTGAAAAGTATAATTTTATAAGATGAAATAAAACAATTGTCTATCTTTCCAGTAAGGTTACTTCTAAATGTAAAGGGCCCAGTCCTGCAAGATGCTTAATTGCCACCATTTGAGCATGTTCAGCATCTTACAGGAGAGTTGCGTGCCTCTTGCAATTGGTTACCTTGTTTAACAGTTAGCTCATTTTTTTCAGATACTTTATAATTTGCCTTTCCTGAGCCCTGTGCTGTTACAGAGAATTGCTTTGATGGTCCGAATGTTCTCGGAAAGTCGTTTTGTGTTTGCTTTTCGGTGCCTTGTTCCTTATGTTGTTTCCAGACCAGTCGGTGATGATGTGCGTGTGTGGAACTGAAAATGGGGAGATGTGAGCTCACTGAATGTTTTTCAAAAGCTTGAAGCGTCCGATACCCAAAGTTCTTTGTACATTTTAAATTTTAAATGTGTTAACGCTCTCGGTGAACTATTTATTGTTTTAAAAAGAAATTACTAAGCAGTGGAACTTTGTGATGAAACCTGCGCTGTTTGCAACTGAATACAGCTACACTTAAACGCAGTGTCTGTCGCCTTAGCGCCTTTTTCCCTCGAGCCACTGACTTAACAGGCCTCATTAAGAAACGTTATTTTTACTGCTCCTCGGGTCGGGCTCCTGGTTTAGAACAGCGCTTTCCCGTGGATGCCTGAGGCGGGCAGGCCCGTACCGCCCTGCCCCGCAGAGCGCCGCCACGGCCT